GGATTAGTATCATGAGATATATAGTTTATCAGTGACTGAAACTAACTCATCATGAATTTCAACAGTTTCTGTTTCCTTTTCTCAAATTTATGAAACAGTGACGTTTTCTTTATTCCTTCGCTTTCTGAGTAGGACTTCAAACTCTGAACTCTGAAATTTTATTATTAGTGTTAATATTACGGGATGGGATTTACAGCCTCATACCCAACCTTCCGTCTTTTCCAGATGGCTTACTACTAGCTATTTGAGTTTTAGGAGCGCTTGATTTGGCCACAAATTATTTCTGGAGGAAAAGACTCCAGAATGGTCGCCCTACAGTTTTGGTCTTTCAAAAGGCTGGGATAAATATATATATTCTGTTCTCCTGAAAACCAAAGCCCAGTCAATAGGAATATCATTATGTGAATGATTCAATTATGTATGAATTTATAGGATTAATTGTATGATGAGATAATGTTCAATCATATCTGTTATTTGCAAATTACGGAGTTCCAGATGAAAATTCAGATCACAAGATATACTCTGTTTGATACAAAAAACAACAAAAACATGTGTCAATCAAGAAGGAAAGCATAAATGCATGTGTATCTAAACTACTAATTGGAGGTGAGTGGTTGGTAGTGTATGCTTGCCAATTTCAACCAAAGTGATCAGACTAAGAAGTTAAGTAAAGCGGAAAAAAATCCTATTTCCTGATTGATTGATAGATAAGTAGAATTAAGCACAACATATAATTACCAGTATAAGTAAGTAGGGATGTGACGCTATGCTTTGTTGGATAAGGCAGTCGGCTTTCAAGCAACAGACATGAATTGTTCAAGGTCTTCACTAGACGCTGGAAGTAAGTCCTGCGTCTGAGTCATCAGGTTTTCAAACTGCACCTTTGTGTCTAATTCTTCAACTCTGGATGAAATAGTACCATACCTAGGAGCAAGAGATGGGATTTTCATCTGAATGTCAGACAGAGACCGAAGGTAATTTATTAGAGAATTATGTCTGACATGATAAAGAAAATATCTGAGGATCTATGAGTTATGGTACTGAGAAGTTGCAAAACAACCGAATTTCACATGAAGTTCCCGGATTCTCTAAGGAAATATGTCTTTAATTGCTCTAGTATAATCGTGTGTGTGTGACAATCAGCCGGAAATCCTCTCTCTTGATCCTAAGTGTTGCACTATTTCGTTCAGAGTTGACGAATTAGACACAAGGGTGCAGTATGAAAATCTTTCAACCAACAGGTCAAGATTTCATAATCCTTCTATACCAACCAAAGTATTAGCAGTCACACAAAAAGTATGGTTAAATTAGTTATTAGGGGTGATGACGGTGATAGTGATAATGTTACTCTTCTTAGTTGAGTGGACTTAAGTGATTAACAGTAAGATTATAGTTCTGTAAGTTTATAAACAAGTCAGTAGATCACTGTCAACGCTTTGTACAGTTAACAAAGTTGATTATTACTCTGAAATTTGCACTCCTAATCTAACAGATAAGTCCTTCTTGGTCATCTGAATCGATTAATTTTTATTACCAATATAAATAATCAGTAAACAGTTCCATTGTAGATGTTATTTTATCACTCCTTGCGTCTCCAAGCGGAACATAGGGTTTCAAAATTAGGAATTTGAATTTTCAGTAGTGCTGGCAGTGTTTTCCTTCATGGGAGTGGGGTTTCCATGCCCAACCTTCTCTCTTTTCCAGGAAGCTTACTACTACTATTACTACTGCTACCTAGGTAAGGTTTAAAAGTGCGTTAGTCTACGGGTAATCAAACCTTGAATATGCGCGTGTCTGACAAGCATTCTACCCATATTATAAAATAGTCATATAACAGTCCTTCCGAATCATCTTTGATCAGGGTACAGATCCACTTAAAACCTTGAATTTGTTTAATTGAATTCCATTCATAACTACTGATGCATGTATCTTACCTTGATTTTTATTCATTCTGCTACTGATCAACTTATTGAATTATACTAGTATAGACAAAAACAGTTCAATCTACTTATCTTTTTTATCAACATATCGGATATGTGAATCACAGTGCTACAATATCACCATTTGGCCGAACTCTTCAGTTATCTATTTGTATATATTTAAATTATCAGTGCAAAACCATAAATTTATTAACAAAATTACTATATATATGCCTAGTGAATATTGAATTCTTTCGACATTTGTTAAGAAATTGATTATCACTCGTTGCATAATACCCAATAATAATAATAATAACAGTAAGAAGAACCCGAAAACGTACACTATTGATGTATGGATGCATGAAGTATGTGAATAATAAGGGGTTAGATAAATAAAAGATATCAGTGTCTGTTATCAGGGTGAGGGTAATATTCATCATATGGTGTTTTCGTGCAATGACTTTTGTTATCAACCTTGTTATCAGAATTCAGAAGATTGTATCTCCAGAATAACATCCTCTTTCCAGTTTACTTTGAAAACTGAAATTATTCAAATCACAACTACCCATTTCAATCGACCAGTAGTATACAGCGTCATGCGTTTATGCTTGTTCTCTTGATTACCATTTATGGTACCAAGTAGACAACCTACTGCGACCTAAAAAATCTGGGTTTCGAAAGGGAACTGTAGTGAAGTTCACCTCCACTAACTGTGTAAATTGCAAATTAATTTGCAAATTACGGACTTGATATAAGGTATTACCAGTTTGTAAAAAATTATATTTGTAATATCTCAGCGATATTGAAATGAGTAATTCCAACGTTTCGTTCGGCAATCTGGTCCGAACTTCTTCAGGGAAATTAATCAAAATTAACATAACAGAGGTTTCATATATAAAAGGCACATCTTTTGTTTTTAGAAACTTTGTCCAATCATGATTCATAAACAGAAGTATTAACAAGTATAATAAACAAAATTGTATGAGCTGTGATCATTTCAATATCGCTGAGATATTACAAATATAATTTTTTACAAATGTCTACTTCTCACTCGGCGCCCAAATATTTTAGAACTATTCGGTCAAATCCTGACGACAGTTCATTTGAAATATTACCAGTTTACTCAAGTGACTAACCAGAAATCGGGCGGTTTGGAGTAATTCGACTATTTGAGTTGAGTCAAACCGGGTACACTGCTGGTGAGCTCGGCCCTAAACGACCTAAGTGTCTGTTCAGTGTTTGGATCTCTTCGATCTGGCTGACAAGCACTACTGGTTGATGTGTGTGTTAAACAACTATTCATTTCAATTAAAAGTAGTATATGATATCACGCATTTAAAATGTCAAATTAGTTGGAGAAAAAAGAAAAAACAGATCAAAGCAATGTTCTCTTATTAGCTAACACTACTTAAGGAATAAATAAGTAGTATGCATTTTGTCCCTTAATTTATTGTTCCCTGAGTGTTTGTTTAGATGTATTTGATTAAGTAAAGCTTTTTTTCTTTGGTTAAATAAATATCCCTGTACAAACACAACAGATTATCTTATCATATCAACAGAGAATCAATACTTTATCACAAGTGGTTCAGCATGAATGACTTTCATGATAGTATTCATACTCTATGTTGCTTGTGGTAGAAGAGAATAACCACTTCTCCGCTTATTTGGTAATCACATTTGGAATTTTCACTCACTGCAAATGAACAACAATCATGTAGGCATGGTATATGACACAGGACCTATTAAATGATGAATATCGTTTTTATTCCACACACACACACAAACATGTTTGTATAATCTTCCTTCATTAGATAAACAAAAATGAGTGTCTGTCCATTAAAACACATTTGAAAAGATACATTTTCCTTTATTCATAACCAGCTGACTATATAAGGTATGTTACTAGGCTATTCCGATACACTTGAGTCACTGTGTCCATATTCTAGTCTCTTTGTAGTTCTATGTATATTTGAGTGCAGTGTAATCTCAGACTTATAACTCGACGACGATTAATGATGAAGATGTTCCGTGTTTGTTTTCAAAGCCTTGGTAACAGCAAGGTTAATCATTGTGTTTACCAATCATCACGCCAACGAACTGAATATCTTAGCACATGATTGGCTAGGGAAGCAAGTAGCCTTGACGTCTGGCAAAGCCTTTGAAACCATGTCAAGATGTTAACCTCTGGTTACAATCAATTAGTCTGCTTAATTCTGTTTGGTTAACTAGCATTGCCAAGCCATAGGAAAGACAAGTATTGATTATAAGTCGATGTGATTAAAATATTCTAAAATTTAGTTAAAGCACTGATCTTTTCTGATTTACCTAAATTAAAGTCTCTTAAGGTGCGTCGGTAGTTAAGTGGTAGAATACTAGCCAACCAGTACTGACTTGGTCAGGAGTTCGATTCCAAACCAGCGCACTTCTAAACCTCATCTTGAGGCTAGAAAAAGACTAATAAAGAGGGGAGGTTATGCTCGAAACTAGTGACCGCACCACGTTAAAGGACGGCATCTCTGCCGAAACTTCAATGCTCATGCTTGAAGCCCTGTGATCAACTGGAAACTCAACGGAATAAAATGATAAATAATGAGTTCTTTTTAGAGATACATACATAAAGTTAGTGGAATAGAATTTTCTTTGAATCCTCTTAACGAAAACTCAGAGTCAGATTTTTTTTGTCCAGATTCCTTTCACATATTCTCCAGGGTAGATTTTTGTTTCAAAGTGAGTCTTTTTCACTGTAAAATAAATGAAGGTGTAATACAAACCAAAGTATTTAATTCAGTTTTGATTTTCCCATAGACTGACTCGACTGAAATGTTTAGCCTTTGTTGACACGTCAGTTCCTAGTACGGATGCTTCGACGATATCTGAGGATTAACTTTAAGAGATTTAGTGGATGGTCACTAGCAGTAGGATCTACCAAATTACAAAACAATGTAGTTGAATCAGTGTAAAAGTTATTTTTGAGGTCAAACTATCTAAGATGATCTCCTTGGTTATCAAATCTTTAGTCCAGCATTTGTCAGAGAGTTCAACGAAGGTTTTATTTTTATTTTCTGTCTTTGTTTCTATTAGATCAAAACAACGCATTCTGGAAGTTAGGCCAACTGTTCCCACATCTTCCAATGTTATCTTCATTATGGCCGTCATCGTTAGCGTCGATTGGTGGTGCACCCGAAACCTACGATACATCACAAAACCAAACTACTGATTCACTAGAGAAAAGCCAAGCAACCTTCCCAATTATATCATCACGCAGTAACAATCAGATAGAGGTTGACAATGAGATAAATTCCACACTGTCATCAAGATGCCGAGGGAAAATGAATCCATCATATTTGAACAATGATAATAATAAGAATAAATCGTCTGGTGAGTTACTCACCTCCAACAACAATAACACTATTAATAGTAGTATTAATGAGAATAATTTCAAATGGAATTCTTTAACAACTTCTACATCTATTCATAAATCCATCACAGGATTACATTCTTCATCTTCTTCTCTAACGAATTCTTCAACATTCAACAAAAAATTGGATCCTGATCGGGATAATGTTGATGCTGATGATTATGATGAATGTTTAGACAGTATGATAACGACAGGTGAAAATGAACGCATGAGAAATTCATCATCTGATGATATTGAAGACAATCCAGTTAAACTCACTACTACTACTACTACTACTAGTATTAATAATAATAATAGCACGTATAATCCATCAGTTGATTCAACTCATAGTAATAATAATAATAACAGCAACAGCAATTTATCGTGTTCAACACCAGAATTACAGCCTAGTTCAATACATGTTAATGGTGCTGTACATAATACACTAAGAAAAACTCGTTCAGATATGAAAGTGATTCATAGATATTTAATTCAAGTGAAACATGATACACGTGAAATACATCAGATACCTAGTCATGAATTAGACAGATACATACAAGTGAGTTCGGCCGGTTTAACTTATTATTATTATGCCATATGTACATTGAGAAATAAAAAAATGAACCTTTTATATTTCGGTAAGAAATTCGTATTGCATTCATTACAGTTCTTCTTATTGTTTATTGTAAGAAGTACACCCAGAACGTATTGCTTCAAGTTTGGCACATGATGTAATCCAGTGGCCTCCACACTGTATGTCCAAACTATTTAATTTGCTTCGGCATATTTGTTGAACGATTGGTTCTTGGCTAGTTCCTAGCCGGAGTGTCTTGCTGTTTTTACTTCGCTACCAGCCATCTGATCTTCATTATGGAGTCAGTAAAGGTAGCTGCTGACGGAAGTCTGCAGCACCCTGCTGGAGATGCTTTTGGTAGAGCGCGCGCCATTTCTCTGAAGCATAGGGAAGTACTGACCTGAAATTTGTGTTCCTTATGGATTTAAGAATGATAACAGAGGTCTATCTTGCTCGGACATCGAGAAGGGTGGCGCCTGTAGTTGAAACGATGCCACCCAAGAGTGGCATATATATATATATCACAACCTTGTAGTTATGAGATCTGAAAATCCTAGGCTAGATCTTGTATACAGCTTGCAATATTGACATCAGTTTTCATCTGTCTAATTATAGATCATAACATACCGGTATGTATTAGAAGTGAACATTGGTAAACAACCTGCGTAATCCAACTCTGTCGATTCGGTACACCATATATCGTCATTAAGTTAAGCGGCGAAAGACTACTGTACACTCGGTTGATACTGTTCACTTTTGTATTGGTTACAAATAGTACGAGAGAATCCATCGAATTCTCCTTGCTTGTTACTACTCGTTAGTTATTCAAATGATAAAATCATCAGATTTTTGACACCGTGTGAAGTTTGTTCGAACCATGATGAGGACATGGATATTTTCGAGAGTCAATTAAGATGGAACCTTAATGAAGCAGAGTTTTGTAACAAAAGTCTTCTAACATTTCTATAACATTAGTAAATGCTGATGTAAATTTGTGGATATGGGAAGAGGAATAAAAACTGATTTAATTTCATCTTTTTCACCAAACTAGAAGACTAGTCAAATATTCTTGACAGGAATGCCATAAAGTGTTTGACTAATTTGATTAGTGTGTAAGTGAAAGGATTTACGAAAGTAGATACTTGTAGGTGATAATGATCGGCACTGTTACTATATATTGAGAATCGGTAGGACTCAGAATTCATGGACTACTAGATTCCGTCTTAATGGCCGAATAATGGACGGATTCTCCTCGTAATTTGTATGCCCTAGGTTCGATTCCCGGTAGGAGCATGGGTGGGTATTGGGGAGTAGTCCCAGAGTGGAAAGAAACAGCTGTACACTACTCCCTGATTATAAATCGGGGATCTCATTTAAAATTTAAAAAGTTGGTTAATACAGACCATTGAATTGTTGAAAAACAACATGCCCAGCAGGCAGCCTAACGTTTTTGGGTCTGGTCTCAAACAAACAGTCTCAAATTATAACAAAAACTAATTCACTCAGAGATTCCAGATTCTTAGTACTACTGTACTATGAATGATATATAGCGTGAAATACCTTGTTAAAGAGTGACGGTCGAATCATTCGATATTTTTATCTTAACACAGACACAAAACCAGAATATTATTTCTAGTCATAGTAAAAACTAAACAATAACTGATGTTTGTCAGCTAGCTGCCATTATGAAATTTTTTCCCAGTTTTTCGGGTTATCATTACAAAAAAGTCGTATTCACGTATTTTTAGAAAAATTTATCATTATATTTCAATATTTTAGAAATAAAAGTAGGTAATTACCAGAATTTTAGTTTTCTCAGTCTGTAGAGTTAGTCGGTCAATTAGTTAAGACATTGGAGCAATAATTAACACCACTGAACACCGGAATTGAATTTAGATAAGATAAGGTCACTCAGGTAACTGTTTATTTGTTTGTTTAGTTTTAGAGACAAAAAACTATGTGTATACAATTCGCATTTCAATAGACAGATAATATTACGAGTGATTTATATTGAATGAAAGTGAATTATGAATAATACATAATCGACTAAGAGAGGCAAATTGGATTTTGGAGAGAATAGACCTTTTTCATAAAATTTCAAATTCACCTTATTAATGACTAGTGCTATTTCATCTAATACCAGAGTAGAAGTGATGATGTCAGTCTGCCAGAAAGTTACATCAAGCAAGAATATCTGTCAACTACTACTAAATACACAAGTAAACACTTGTGAAAAGTTATTCGTTGTGCAGAAGGTGGCTCGTATAGCCCTAGTGGCCTAGTAGATAACAATTCAGGGGTTTAAACGGTGGGCGCTGGGTTAGAGTCTCAGTGGGAATGTAAATACATCCATCTGTCAAATCCCAAATAGGATAAAATGCACATCTTGGATTATATTACTAATCACCATTAACCAAACTTACTTGTGAGAGGTATTTTTAATAATAGCCAGTTTACAAACCTCATTGAAAGAATCCAATCAGGATTTAAGAATGGCGGAAAACGAGAGTATTTACATCTCCTTTATCTAACCAGTATGGCATGTTGGGAGTTATCACCTGGAGTGAATGGAAAATGCTGAATCGAGGTAGAAAAGCTGAAGCCAATCATAACTACCTCATTTTCTTCTTAATAAACAATCAGTAGTCATTCCATTTTCCTATTCGAGCAAAACAGAATTGAACTGATTAGTTTGGTTATTGAGATAACACTAATGCATAGTGATATCATTATTTTGACATAGCAGTCAACAGCAAAATATTTATCAATTAGAGTAAAAGTGACAGTTTAATCAGTTGTTTTATTAGATATCTCAATATGTAGAGTTGAAAATTTGTAGACCAGTAAATATTAGCTACAATCTGAGGGTTCTTACGAAATCAACCAACAACATCATCAACCTCACCACTAAACCTATCAAACCGCTAGAGAAACAAACTTTAACATACAGAATATATATTAAAAATACGAAAAATTCAAATAACAACAATCTTATTCTTCGCTCGAACCGGAGAAGCGAAATGACGCAGCGGACTGGCGAAAGCCTCCGGGAAGCCAGTCAGCCGATGTGTCTTCTCTCGATGAAAGCAAGAATAAGAATACGGACGTGGAATGTCCGTACAATGTACGAGGCTGGGCTGGGAAAGCTGTCCAGGTAGCCAAAGAAATGTGAAGATATGACCTAGAAGTGCTGGGTATCTGCGAGAGCAGATGGAGTGGATGTGGACTATCAGAATTGTCAACGGGAGAGTCAGTAATCTACTCCTGTCACCCACCCACGAACACATTGAGGCAGGGAGCGTCTATAATGATGTCACGAATGGTGGCTAGATCCCTAACACCGTGGGAACCAATCCCCTCTTCCAGGATCATGACAGCAAGATTCAACTCAAAAGGAAGAAAGGTCACAATTTTCATGCAATGCTACACACAGTGCTACAGACAGCCCAGAGTAAGAGAAGAAAGAAGATTTTTACAGACAACTACAAACAGTAAAGGACAGCATCCCAAATGGTGACAACAAAATCCTCAGAGGCGATATGAATGGAAGCCAAACTGGGAGCAGATAATACAGGAAGAGAACTCACCATAGGTCGACAGGCTCTCGCTCCGAGAAACAAATGAGAACGGAGAATTAGTCACAGACTTCTGCGCTTTCAATGATTTGGTGATTGGAAGCAGCGTATGCAAACACAAGGATATACACAAAGCAACATGGATTTCTCCTGATGGAAACACTACAAACCAGATAGATTTCATCCCAATGTTGCTTAATGAAGTGGGGACTCAGCTAGCCTTATGGACACAAAGTCGAGAATGGCAGCAGATGTGAGCTCAGGCCATCATCTAGCTAGTTGAAGGAACCATCAAGGTGAAGCTGAAATCCCTTAGAGCAACTGGAGACAAGGCACTGTAATTCAGAAACTGAAGGATACAATTACAAAGGATACATTCACCAGAGATATCAGAGCAGAGTTGGAGATGCAAAGTGGCATCACTGAGGACACCTGCGTGGAGGAATATTTGAACTCTCTGATGGCAGGTGATATTCAGGGAAACGTGTACAACTGTTCTGGGAAGCAAGAAGAGACAAAACAAGGAATGGGTGGCTCTCAACGGACACCTACCTGGAAGCTAATCGAGTAGAGCAGAGGAGAGGAGGATGGTGAAAGAGAAGATGACTCAATGCAAAGATGGACAACACAACAGAAGGAGAAGCTGAGTTCAATTTAAACTGCACTGAATAAAGAGAGAAGTGGAAGAGTGCCAATAAAGACAAAAGACAATTCTGCGACACACTGACCGGCAAGTAAAGCAGAACAGGCAGGTCTCAGGTAAAAGAGACCTCAGGACATCATATCAGATAACCAGGTCTCTATCTGGGAAGAGATCAACTGAGATGATGAAACCAATAAAAGATGTTCAAGGGAACGTGATTACGAAGGAGGAGAAACAAATAAAACAATGAGTGGGTTGATCACTTTAAAAGACTCTTGAATCGATCACCACCTGCAACTTGCCCAGAAATACCACCAACAACACTCACGGAACTGCCAGTGGACACTAGTCTTCCAACGAAAGCGGAAATCCTAAATGCTATCAAGTTACTGAACGCCGACCGGGAAGGAAGCAGGCCCCGAAGCACTGAAAACGGATGCAGAGACTGCAGTAGATGTGCTCAAGCCATTAATGCAAAAGGTTTGGAAGGAAGGAAAGGTAACTACCGACTGGCTACCTCGTCAAGCTGAGAAGAAGGGCGACTTAGGCCTGTGCAAGAACTGGCGTGGAATAATACTCTTGTCAACGCCAAGTAAAATACTGAGTCGCATCATCCTGGAGAGAATAAAAGATGCATTGGATACAGAACTCCACCCGCCTAAACAAGCTGAATTCAGGAGAGGCAAGTCATGTGGTGATCAAATTGCAACTCTACGCATCGTCATCACAGAACAAAGCATAGAATGGCAGTCAAACATCTACCTCAAATTCATCGATTTCGAAAAGGCTTTCGATAGCGCAGCATTGACCGAGACGTAATTTGGAAACTACTTCAACAAAACGGTGTGCCTCAATTCTTTATCAACCTCCTTCAGCAGCTGTATGACAGTGGCACGTGTCAGGCGATCCACAATGGAAAATCAGCGAGGAGTTCGAAGTGCATACAGGAGTAAGACAGGGCCGGCTGCCTATTAGCCTATTATCACCGATGACATTCTTAATTGTGGTGGACTGGATTATGCGTCAGACTGTGAGTTGGGAGCGAGGAGGCAGGAGTACGCTGGACGACCGATAACAAGACTCTAGAAGATCTGGATTCCTCAAATGATATACGTCTAATGTCACACAAACTCAAAGATTTACAGGCGAAAAGCAACAAAGTGGCAGAAGACGTGAGCAGGCGGCGAAAACAGGACTCCAGGTGAACATAGAGATGGTGGAGATAGAGGTGATGAAGATAACCAGCCAACCAACAGCACCAATCACCATCAACGGGAGAGATTTGACAGAGGTTACCTCCTTCACTTATCCGGCTGGGAAGCCAGCATCGTTTCGAGTACAGTTGGAACGGATGAAGATGTCAAAGCCAGTCAGCCAGAATCGGAAAGGCTAGATACGCCTTCATTGACCTGAAACCAGTTTGGAAATCTTCAGCTTCACTCAGCCAGCATAGGGAACAAGATTCGGATTCTATTCAACACCAATATCGAGTCGGTCAGTGCTTCCATACGGGTCAGAAACTTGCACTACATGTCACGAAAAAGTATTTCCAACGGCCTGTTGCAGACTTTTGTAGACAGCCGCTACCTTCGCTGGCTCTATATTAAAGATCAATTGGTCGACCAGCCAGAAAGAATTAGTAACAGGAAACTGTGGGACCAAACCAACCGAGAGCCGATCGCTCAGCAAATATGTAGGGGAAAATGGAGATGGATTGGGCTTACATTAAGGAAACTGTCGAATTACATCGTGTGCCAGGTCATGTCTCGAGTGGAATCCAAATGGGAAGCGACAGTCGTGTGGGTCGTCCTCGGATAACATGGAGGATATCGTGTGGCGAAGAGGAGATGAGAGATTGTGGGCAATCGTGGACTCAGCTGAAGAGGAGGGCAGAAAATAGAACAAAGTGGAGGTGTGTTGTTGAAGCCCTATGTTCCACTGGGAACCATAGGGAACAATAATAATAATAATCATTATCATTGAACAAGCAACGCATACTTTGTCCTTTACAGTGATTGGTTCACTGTTACTATAATATAAAGACCATAGTTTGTAATAGGCCGCCAATAGATTTTTAGCACTTGAGTCATCATTTATCCTATTCGCCTTAAGGTAATGAGATATGCAGCACACGACTCATTGCTTGCACTCCGTGAATATGATTCGATTTCAGTTCAGGACTAAACAACACAAAATATTGATTTCTCATGTGTGCGGTTAATTATGTCATTTACATTGATATTAAATCTTGGTTATATTACTCTCAGTAGTGATATTAGTAGTAGAATTAAATGTGTTGTCAATAATAATGATTTCTTTTCTTTCATCATTGAATAGGATTTTGTACTCACTGCAAAAAAGAAAGATGGACATGAATATGAACCGGAATCATTGAAGGCTTTCGTTCATTCCTTAGAACGTCATCTTAAGGTAAGTTGGCCTGGTTCATACATTTAAAAATTAGGCATCCAAAAATAATATAAACTGTTGTGTTGGATGATTTAATTGTGAAGTGTTAATTATCTTCCTAGATAACATTTTCAGCGCTAACTTCAAAATGAATGAATAAATTATGTGTCAAAATGTTCAATAGAAAAGTGAATTTCACTAAAATCTCATCTCGAAACTTTAACATTTCAGGAATTCTGCTAATTTTAGTATAGATTTCTTCACCAGTCAACATCAATAATGGAATCACTGGAAATAAAAGAGCACTAGACATTTGTCGCGTCCCAATTTGGGACTCTTCATTAGTATTTACTCATGACTTCTCTTGGAATCAAACCCAGTAAACTCACTTGATAGTGAAACCTTTATTTACGAGTGTTGACAATTGGTTTTCAGCACGTAACATTAATTTATAACCTCATATTTTAACGCATAGCTTCATGGTAACATGTAAATTAGTTGGCTACGCGTAAACTGAAATAGTTTCAACGTCTGCCTGATGGTGATAAACAGTGGATTCTAGGATGAGCATTTCGTTCTGTGTGGGACTCGTTATCTGGACGTGTCTGCATTCCCAGTGATTGATGGCATTTCCTCTAAAACTCGAGTCCTTCACCCATTGTTTCAAATACCAAAGGATTATCCATTAAGCCGCGATAGCCATTTATTGTCTAGCTGTGGGAACATTGTCACTCACTGGGAAGACAGGTACATCCATGGATTACACTGGTAGTCACCATCAGTCAACCAAAATAACATCATATCAATCTTCAGACATTTTTGAAGCGTTCGTACCAAGAACAGACAATGTCAACAGAGACCGAGGATTTCTGTCCAACATAACTAATCAAAGGGAAATCCGAATTCACACTTGGACATCAGCTGAAGAAGTCATGAAATTGAGTACTGAAATACAGCATTCCCCCACCTCATTTACCACTGTCCTGGTGATAGTTGAAGAGTTTTAATACTGAATATGAATTAGCTATTCATTCGATTTACCTTTCACTAATGAAAGTATCTTCAAATTCCCATTCTCCTTCAACTTATTTATTCATGTGTGGTTTCTAGTTTTGTAACTCGAAATTTTTTTTCTTCTTCTCCTCTCCTTCTTTCATTCAAAACTTCTTCATTAAATTAATCTCCATACTTTATGATACTTTTTCTTTCGAAATATAATACACATGTGTACTATAATAACAATAATTATAATAACACATTTCTAGGTGTTTGAATCTATTTTTTCTTAAGTTATGTATATCTTTATTATAATTATGATTATGTTGAAATGTACGGATAATAATAATAATTATTTTCAACAAAAGTTAACATCAGTAATAAGACTTTTCAATCCTTTATTATTTTCACCTTGCGTATATTAATAATAATAAAATTATTATTATTATTATTGATGATGATGATGATATAACATTCTCATATGCTTGATTAAAGATTTTCGTTTGCGTACGTACAAGTGTGGGTGCGTACCTCTACGTATTATATACATGAATGGATTATAAATGAATTAATATAAATATACAGACACAGATACATTTTAAATTTAAAATCGACTTATACAAGCACAAACACGTGTTAGATAAACACAAATTTATACCCCTATATGTGTGTACACACACGCACAACACACTAATTCATACGCCTAGGAGGTTGTATATTCTATTCGTTCATTACAAATGTTTTAGTCTAAATTCAGGTCAAAAATAAATGATTTCATTTTAATGATCTGTGTTATTATTATTATTATTATTATACTGATAGCGATAATCATACTACTACTAATTTTAAATGATAGATAAGTAGTGTTTTAAGAAATTCAGATAAATCTTCAAGTGATGTTTATGATAGTAAGTATCATAACTGTGTACATCCATAATTTTACATGTTATGCCTATAGTCGCACACACATATTTATCCAGATCATTTATCATCGATCAAATTTATCTTCGCGCTGAGACACATACATATGTACGTGTATTATTTATGATATTGTAATGATGATACCTGCCTTTGGGATAGTTGAAAGTAGAATTCATTTTTATGCGCTTAAATCGAACACGTAAATGTTTCTCTGTGTGTGTGTGTGTGTGTGAGGAAGATGTGATATTATATCACATGTTTTATCTAAGTGGCCAATAAGTAAATATAGTAAAATTATGTGTTAGTAACTAGTCTTGATGGTGCTTTGATTGTAATTTTTAGATGCCAGGTTTAATCACGAACTAACTTCATTGGGAAGTTAATTGAAAGCCAGTAATGAGTAAGGGATATCTGTTTCGTCTTCTATGTTTGGGACCGTTCAGCGGTAGGCACCCATCACTCCACCCCTGGTTATGGGAACTGAAACATTCGCGTTCTGAGGAGAGATCGTTAACCATTCTGCCAATGGGACAGAATCCAATTATCCATGAATTTGAAGATTTTTAGATATTCATTGTGAGGCTATCTGAAATGGTTTTGGTCTGATAAAATGTCACTGATGTTTTAGAGAAGTGAAAGTCTGGGTCTCGGTCTCCAGGTTACTGTTTCAGCTTAATCTACCGGCTGGATTGCGAGACATTACACCAGTTGACAAACTAGGTCTTCTCCTGTCTGTTATCAGTCCTAATCCTAGCCAAATGAGTGTGATTTTTGGGGGACATGATATCTGGGCAGTTATAACCGAAGATGGTAATGGCAGGCAGATAACCTGGTTAGCAATTGGGTCTTAGAACTGAGTTGGCAAGCCTCTCGACTGGTAATCAGGAGGTCACTGTTTCGAATCCCGCCAGTGTTTATATCAAATTATTACTTAGCTCCATTTTATATAAGAACTAGAAAGTTCCCAACAGTTCATTAACCTATTTCTTTAATGTAGGTTTCAGCCTCGAGCTATTTCGTGTATCAAGATATTCTTTTGACGACATGATTTCTCGATATATTTTAGTTTCAATAAGTTTATACCTTAGAAACGGATAGATAATAAGAGAAATGCAAGGGGATTGAATAATGAACATACCCGTTTCCCTCATAATTCAATAGTGTACTACAGATATTCGATAACATGACTGGTAAGTAGATTTAACCTTATGGATGTCACTGAAAGCCTTTCAATAAAATTCTCTTTCCCCATCTCCTAGAAATTATCATCTTACTCCTTTCCCAATAATAATCAATACAAAATGCAATTTAAAAACATTTTTTTTTGCTTTTCAACAAGACATAAATTAGAATTAAACTGAGAAACTATGTCCGATTATCATATTATAAAGGATGCTGAAAACACCCTCAAATAACTGTGTTAACGTGATGTACTTCAGTGCAATGGACTGACTGTTTAACCGATAAGGATTAAGCGGACTTATATGAATTGAACTGTCGATCACTATCATTGAGTGATAGCTGCTCACGGAAAACTGTACTATTTGCACACTTCCTCTCCTCATCAAACTGATATCAGTAGATACATTCCGAATCCTTTCTCTTTTACAGATAGTAAATATTCATTTCTATACAGCAGTATGACCTTGACAGGATTAACCATTGAATACTGAACACACACAGCATATCTTCAACTGAGGGTAGTTCAAAATCGTCATTAGGCAGCCAATGAATGACTTATCAATAGATGTGAGACTGCGTTCCTTATGAAATAAGCCTTTCACAGAAGAATATTTTCAGATATTCAGTGAAATTGTTCATTTTTAATGTCTATAAGCTCTGCATTTATAAAATATGATAAAACAACAATTGATACATCGAATACTTAATATGAATATTATCTAGTTACAATGATTGTGTTTGTTATTCTAGCAGGTAATTTACCTGTGTTTACCCCCCTCCCACCACCACCACCACCACCCGCCTCCACATTTGGACACACACACGCACACACACACATAAATGTGCAAACAAAGTGTTATTAAAAGAGAAGTTTTCTTAGCGCAAATATTCTGTTTATCAAGAACAAAAATATTTTCTCTTTTCTGTGTTGTTTATACTTTCTGTCAATTTTGATAACATACACCAAAAAAAGAAAAAGAAAATAATAAAAATAATTTTTCGATACATTTCAATATGATCATATTACGTAGATGATAACACTGAGTAGTCATAGTAACTTGTTATGTGTGACATGCATTTGTTAATTAGCTGAAGTAGTTTTAAACCAACAAATAAATGTGAAATAACTTATCCTTTGATAATTATACTACTTATATTGTGTACACCTACTACTTAAATACCACATTAGTATACCATGGGTTATTGTGAGTGTAGACTTCCAGTTAGTCCATGCAAACCCGAAGTGTCTTAAATTTATCAGTATTATACTGGTCAGGTTTGCTTATGGATTGATATCGGTTGGAGAACCATTGAAAACTAGGGAGTACTGGGCAGCTGTTTCGTTCTAGTTTAGGACTGTTAGTGCTGTTGAAGAGTACCAATACTCTCTGGTTTTCAGTGGTTCTTTAACTCATTACGATCCGTGAACAAACTTGAAATCAATCAAATCCCTGGAAATCAACACTTGAAAATTAATCTAGTGCCTACTCGTAACTGAATACAGGACAAAGTTGCCTGAAATTCCAGTGAGGGGTCGTGACCGGTGGGGTTCACTAAGTAGAGGGTGATGGCAGATGACAATGGCTGACAGTCACGCTAAAGATCGGGAGCCGACAGAAGTCCGAAATGATGGGCTACTGGATTCCGTTCTGGTGGGTGGAAGACCAACGAGCTCGTCACGTAACCTGAAGGTCCGGGGATCATAGAAGCGTACTGATGAAAGGTTTCAAATAGAGAGGAGGAAACAACTGTGCAGTACTCCTAGCTAGTTTTTAATGGATTTTTGACCGATATCAGTCTGTGATCACACTTTAAACCCATCAAATCCCGATAAACTAATATCTGAAAAGTATTTTATATACATTGATACCTCAGTGACTCATTACTTAATCTTGTTTCTTACTCCATTTGTTTATTTAGCATCATGATTATTCACATTCAGTTCTAAAAGGAAATGCATTTGCTGGAACACGAGCAGTGCTTAATCAACGTTTAAATGAATTACGTGCACTTAGTCGTTCTGGTGTTCCAACGAATGGTGCCTACGGGAGCACAATTACCGGGGGGAATAAACGAACTTCAGGATCAGGTGATGATATAACTATGGATAGTAGACCAACATATTATTCTAGAAAAAATAATTCAAATACAAATGGATTCACTTCAGCTGATCTTCTACAAGCAGGTGTTCTTGGTACTGAAAATCCTCAAGTAAGTAATAAAAGGAAATAAATATGGGTTTAGTCATCCATCATTCCATGACAGTGATAAAGTATCTTCAAATGCGACTGTGTATGTGTGTATGATTTGATAGGATATGAGCTTGTTATTTCAGTTTTAAATGAGAAATACTTGATTTTAGCATAATTCAAATGAAAGGTGAGGTGCTACAATCACGTCCATAATGAAGCGACCACTTCTTGAGCATTGCATGGATAGTTTCGAATCTATAAGCTAGAGGACTGACTGCGATTGTTAAATTCTTATGACTTCTAAGTATGGATATAAATCGGTGTATCACTGGTCATTCTTGGATTCTAAAGTATTTGTAATGTCACTGGTTTTAAATCAAGTGTCTTACGACTTACCTAGTAGTTGTACTCTCCTAATCGAGTGATAAGAGTTGAACATTCACATTTGCAGTTCTGACTTAACATTAAAATCATTGTTGAAGATTTCCACCTGAGGAAGCACGACAATACCGAAAACAAAATACACCGGAGCTGAAAATCCTCTACACTACTTTCATATTTGTTGTTTCATTTATTTAGAAAAAAACCTTTGATTATATGAAGAGAGGAAGTAGGGTCTATTTCGCCGTAAGGCAGGACTGAGATAAAAACAGATGGGTTGTACTCATTCTAGAATATTTACAGGAGAAAAATGTATGAAGCATTAAATCTACAATATTATATTACCCATCAATATATTTCAGATACGTCAGTGGTAGAGTGCTTGCCAATTATGCAAGTAGTCCAGGTTCGATTTCCTGCTGACTTATGCGCTACTAAATCACGCTTAGCTGGTAGCAAACTTAGTAAAGAGGTAAGGTTAGGCATGAAGCTAGCAACACGACCCTGTAGAGCTACTGCTCGAAGCCTTATGCCCCACTTGGAAGGCAAAAAGACCAGTCTGCCTCTCAGTCACTTACTGACTTGGAGTTACTTTACAAGGCGTACATCTTAGCTATCTGTAAAACAAATATAAAAAAACAATACTAAATACTGTACATTTATACACATGACTTCTGTCCTGAGGACTAGTGATCCACTAAATATCGATCTGCAGACAGTACATATTCTGTCAAGTCATTTACCTCTCGATTGAGCAGTACTTTCACTAAACAAGCAAGATCATATGGCCATGGAAAGCCCTAGATTGAATGCTTAATGGGTGATAAGTGAATATGAAATGAACATCTGGATGACGGTAGAATTTGAACCATAGGCCACTGGGATGCTAGATTAACCTTCTACCATTTAAGCAAGAGACCTAACAGTGACATCATCATTCCACTAACAATTATCTTTCCTACTTAATTATGCCAGTCATTCCTTTATACAAAGACAATAAATACTGTATCTAACTTTATATATATATATATATGTATATATATGTATGCATATATATATATATACATGTATATATATATATAGTTTAATGTTGCAACAGACAGTTTGTCTAATTTTCAGCCCAAAAATTTGATATCCAGCTGTATACAAATGTAACGTAATCTGAAACTTGAGGTTATTACGTTGAAATAAAACAGTTAATTAATTCACTGAATATATATATATATATATATATGCATATCTTTAGATAAACACAGAATCTTTGTTTCCCCCTCCTTGCTGTAGAACTTAACTAATTGCAAGAATTTATGAGGCACAATTTGGCTTAACATGTTTGCATAAATTTGTGCTTGCATCAAATACTTTTCTATGTATGCCTTCACATTTTTTAATAAACCAAATAAAATGGAAATCATATTTTATTTATAAATAGTTAAAGAGATCTTGAAACTGTCCCACGGTAGCCTCTCATCTCAAAAGGGATGTCAATCATAAGACCACAGGAGTTCTAGACAGTGCCTTCGACCTAGTCTAGGTTTCATCAACATTGCACATCATGACAACATGGCTTTCTTACTTGAGTTTGGATAGGAACTTTTGAAGGGACGTTTACGAAAATGTAAAATTACTCGCTGTTACTTTCGATTTTTAATGATTATCTCACCGATGTTGTTTCGTGACGAAATATACATTGATTAATTTGATTCTGTGCTGCAAGAGACCATCTAAGTTTATAACAGCTAATTGGTAATCTCTCCGATTTTAACATCGGTACCAGTTAGAGAAATATTGAAAACCAAAGAGTATTGGACAGCTATTTCATCCTAGTTTGGGACTCATTGGCAGTAGGGACTTGATTTGTTTCAAGTTTGACCACAGATTAATATGAGTCCAGTAGTCCCTGCTGGTTGTCGATGGTTCTCTAACTGATATCAGACCGCGGCCAAACTTGAAATAAATCAAATCCCCACAAACTAACCCTCGAACATTGAATTTTGTTGAAACCTTCGGGAAAGTATCCAATATATCTTGTTGTTTTTCATGTGTTATCCTTAATTAATCAAGACAAGTAAAATTCTTCGTAGCAGCCACTCTTATGGTTTGATAATCACACTGTAAATTTGTCTGTAGACTATAAGGATTCAAGGAGACTGGACTGAGTACTATTCGATATGATGACTTATAAATAATGTCGCCTTCAGTAGATATTTCAACTAAAAGAGTGTTTATTATATATATTTTTTAGGCAATACTGAATAGTCTGTGGCTTATGAACCGAACACAATTCAATATTGGTGGCACACAAAGACATCGTAATCTTGTTTGGGGACAATTCCAGTTGGTGACAGATGAGAACGGAATTAAAGTGATTAAATTCACACCTTTGTTTGAATCATCTGAAGTACGCTTTTGTCGAGGATATGGAGGTACACGTGGTGGAGCAGCTAATCATGATCCTATGGCTAAAGCTCAGCCGCTTAGTTGTACAGGCAGTGCAAAACGTCAACCACTTCCATTCAACTGTGTTGAATTATTTGAAATCTACGCAAATTTACGACCGCTAGAGGCTCGTGGTGTCTCTGAACCGTTTTATTTATGCCCAGATCCAGGTTGGGAGAATGGCTGTAGTTGGTTTAAAACAAATGCAGCCGGATCACAGCTTTTATCTCGTATACCACGTCTGCTTGGACTGAAACCATCAAAAGAGCCAATTCAGACGTCTGCATTGAATTCTAACTCTACTAATCAAACGCATATGTCAAATTCACTAATAAATCAGCCTAAAGATTCTGAAAACTCCACACTAGAAACTTCTAGTCAAATTATATCGAATCCACCTGGTTATCGAGATAATCATCCAGCACAAACACCATACAATTATTTTAATAATTCCAGCCATCCAAATTGCAGTGCAGATTTTATCCCACCGAGTTTACTCAACTTCTTCCCTTTCCTTTTCCCACCAACTCCATCAGCAACAACGGCAACACCAAATGACAGTTCGACGGCGCTGGCAACCGGCGGTAGTCTACCAGTATATCAGTCATTATTTAATCCATCTATTGCATTTCCAGATGTTATGCAAAGTGTAAATTCAAGTTTATTTCAACAGTCCTTGAAACATAAACTTATGGACGCTAACGCCCAAAATAATTCCAACTTAATGTTAACGAAAGAGAATAACAGTAATAGTAATTTTCCATATTCATTACAACATTTTGAACATGAATCCTTTTATAAAACAAATTTAACACCATGCAAGGCTCCACTGATGGACCCTGAGGAAGAAGAAGCTCGTGACGATGAGGAGGAAACATCAGTAGCCATAGAAAAAGAGGAGGGGGAAACCAATGAAAATGTTGAAAAGTTGAGTTCACATGCTTGTTTCTCTCCAGCGTCCGCTGAACCAGATATTGAAAATTTGTCTACATTAGGTAATTCGCCTAAAATGTCTACAGCAGTTAAGGTGGATTCAGTACATTCACCGCTTAGTGAGCATTATGCATCTGATTCACATATTTCACATCATTCACCAATGTCTTCATCATCATCATCATCGCCTTCTTCATCTTCTTCATCAGCAGACAGTGAATCATTCAGTCTTAAAAGGCGAAGCCACCATCATCACAATGATCGACGAAAGGAACATTCAAATACAGGAGAAGTTGCAGCCACTTCCTCACCAATGAGAACAGTGAAAAATAATAACCAACATCATGAAATACCTAATGAATTACACTATGCACCATCGCATTATCATTCTCCTTCAACATCTTGTGACAAAGAACATCAAGAGTTAACACCATCCAGACTGACAACATCACCATCATCAATGTCTTCGTCAATATCACCAGTGACAACATCTGCTACCACGGTAGATTCAGCAAAAAGCCTTAAACTAACCCTTTGTAAACTTGAAAGAACAAGTTATGTCTGAAGACATTTAGATTAGCCTAACCACATTCTTCCAGAAAGAAAAGAACAACAGTTTATTAAGGAAAAAGGAAATAGAGAGGGTAAACTTTGAGTGGCGTTTTATCTGGACACAGAAAAGTCTAGTCTCCGTTATTCCCCCCCCCCCGGTCTGCTTCTCTCCATCTTTTCTCCCACTCCTACTGTCCTTCCAAAAACGCTATTTCATTGGATCATCTGATTAAACGCACAAATTTCTACTTCTTGTCCGTAATTTTTTCTATTTGTAAACTTTAATTTTAGTATATTTCTCTCAGATCAAAAAATAAATTATACACTTATTGCTGTAGTCATTATTACTATTATCATTACATTTGTATATACGTATATAGAAAAAAACTATATTAGCCAACACTTTATCCTTCCTCTGTTCATTGTCCAGATCATCCTTCTTTGGAATTATACATAAACTGTATAAACGCTGAAGGTGACCATGTTAGAGCTGCGTAAAGCCACAGAGCTAATGTTTTATCTACCTTTATTTCACTGGAACCACACCTGGACTCATCAATATTTGCTTTCTACACATGAATTACAAAAAGTTACTAAATAACTGTATTCCAATGACACAAACAAACCTACTCATATTGGTAGTACTCCTATTAATTCTAACGCTGCTCTTTTTTATTGTTATTATAATTATTCTCATCACCATTATTGTTGCGATAATTAAAACAGTGTTGACATGCACTCACCAGTTTCATTCACAATATTACGTCAATATCATAATAAGACAGTTGCAAAGCTGTATGCAAATATGCGTATGCAAATTTATCCCTTGTATTACTTGTCCGCCTATGTTTGCCATTTTCTCCCCCATTTGTTTATATATATATATATATATATATATATATATATAAGCCTGTACACTTTTAACCTGTATTCATAAAAGATATCTCATTTCACTAAAGAAATTGTTCAGTGAATAACAACAATAATAATAGTAATAATAGAATAATCATTATACACTAATATCAAGTTTTGATTTCTTACAAAAGACGAGAACAGATGATTACAGTTTTGTATTTTCTAGCATTGCTTCGCTTTCTGAGTGGACCATAGGGCTTCGAAATTTAAGCCATAAAGTTACAGTAGTGTCTGTGTTTATTTTTAGAGGTGGGTTGCTTGCCTCATGCCAAACCTCACTTCTTTTTCGTGTGGCTTACTAACGGTTAAGCAAGCTTTAGGTGTGGATCAGTAGGCCGATAATCGTCACCGGGTCACATGCGTAGCTGGTGGACATTCTATTCCTGGACCACTGACACACTTAAAGAGTATGGGTTAAATGGATTTCTATTTTGTCAGAAGTATCTGTAATTTCGGTTACCTACGAAAATTAACTCGATAACTAATATACGTGGAAAGAGCGAGAGTAGATGGAGAGGTTTAATCACCTTCTATTTCGATACTCTATAGAGTGCATACGGTGTGTACTTCATCTACAGTTGAGTTCAGAATTTTGGTTGTCAAATTGTTGAACAGATATCTTACAGGTATTCTATTTGGAATTATTTGATCGCTAGTGGATGACAGTGGAACCTAGGACACATGTTTCATCCTGGATGAGTTGTGGTATTCGTGACTGTGACTTGAGGTTTAATGTTGAAACTTTCAGCAGTAATAGTAGCAGTTCCTCATTTAACAAAGTTTACTAAAAAAAACACGGTATTAGTCAATTGCTGATTAATGATTAGCTTCAAGATTTCAAGTAATTCAGTAGTAGACCCTGAGATGAGTATGAGAATATTTACTTGTCAGTGACTGGTGAATAATTGTTGGCACAGAATTCTCAAATCATAAGTCATTAGAACCTGATTCAGTAGTTTAATGTTAGCATTTTATCTCGTAACCCAACGATAACTGGATTTGTATCTCTCAAAGTTGTAGGTATGCATAACTGAAGAAACTCAAAATGAGGTTAAACAGATGTGTTGAGCTTCTTGATTTTTACTGATTTCAGTAGTATATTCCAGAAGAAATTTAAGTGATGAGATAGTTTCTGTTGAAAATTTAGAGATGCAATACAAGTCTATGAGGGTGGAAAAATACTCACTGTAATGCTTACAGTAACTGTAATCTTGCATTACATTTTCTAAATATGACGTTTATAATACAAAAAAAAACGACGTTTGAACAAAGAAAGTTGAACACCTTGAACTTAACAATCATAGTGTGACACTAATTTCAGTGACCCTTAATTGGACCGCTGGATAGTAACATGGAAAGTTTGCACATTTCCTTCTGTTTTGGCGGTGTGTGTGTACGTGTGAAGGGAAAGTAATGTACTGCAGTCATAATATAAAATCACTAGTGTTTATATCCAATCAGATAAGGAAACTATTGCACTCAGCATGAAGAACAAGATTCGGATTTTCAATACAAATGTGAAGTCAGTTCTTCTAAATCGGTCAGAAACTTGGTGCGTCACGGGAAGCATTTCAAACAGGCCACTTCAGACTTTTACCAGCAGCTGCCTTCGTTGGCTGCATACTGAAGATCAAATGACCACAAAGAATCAGCAACAAGAAACTATGGGGACAAACTAACCAAGAACCTATCGCTCAACAAATATGCAGAAGAAAATGGAAATAGATTGAGCACATGCTGAGGAGACCGTCGAATGAAACTGCGCGCTAGGCCATTGCTCGGGTAAGCCCGAATGAGAAACGAAGAGTGGGTCGTCTGAGGGTGATATGGAGGAGATTGTGTGGAGAAGAAGAGATGAAAAATCATGGGTAATCTTGGGTCCAGCTAAAGAGGACAGCAGAAAATAGAATGAAGTGGAGATGAGTTGTTAAAGCCTTATGTTCCACTGAAAACCTAAAGGAACAACACCAAACAACAACAGTTTCCTTATCTGATTGGACTACATATAGTTAGTAATCTCAGTTTACTCCTCATTATTTACCAAATTTTGTACATACTGGTAACTTTGACTTTCTGGGTACCTGTATTCCTTATAGTAATTCATAATTCATATCTTCCTTCACACGGAATGCTTTGTCTTGACGCATATTTATATTGACTAAATAACTGACTAGTTAAGTTTGTAAATAAATAAAATTTCAGTAGAGGTTCATTTCTGAAGCCATTATTCATAACATCTTTCTCGATTTTGAGAGGTCTTTAGTTGTTTCTCCATTTTAAGCATCTTATCAGCAACCCTTTGGTTTCGAGTTGAAGCACATATCACCTGTTTTGATGAGAATAATATTTAGTGTCGCTTCCCTTACAGGTTGTTCAATATATATTTAATACTATACTATGTTAAACTAAATTAGGAATTAAGTCTAAAATGGTTCGTCAGTGTACTCACAGACTTCTCTGGGTCCATTTTCAACGCTTCTGCTGGGATTCCATCTGGTCCTGCTGCTTTTCCAGCTTTTAGCATCTTGATTGCCGTCAGGACTTCTGATTTCGTCGGGGGGTTGTTGCTCACTGGTAGCTCTGTCTCCGTCGTTGGTATTGTTGGGTGCGTTGTAGGTGGTGGTCGATATAGGAGTCTTTTGAAGTGTTCAGCCCAGTGTTTCCTTTGCTACACTTCTTTGGTGAGTGACTTTCCATTGTCATCCTTCACTGGCTTAATTTGTGTCAAACCTTTGCCCGATAGGTACCTAGTTGTTTGGTAGAGTGTTGCGAGGTCTCCTTTGCCTGCAGATTGTTCTGCTTCACTTGCCATGGCTTCATAATATTTTCTTTTATCTTCCCTGGCACTCTTCTTTACTCTTTTGTTCAGTGTCTTGTAGCTTGCATTCAAATCCTGTTTTTGTTGCTCATCGGTGCACTGGAGAATCTTTTGTTTCACCATCTTTCTCTCTTCTATCAGTCTCCAAGTATCCGTAGTGAGCCACTGTTTGTCCTGTCTCTTCTTTCTGCCCAGAACTTTCATGTAGGTTTCGCTCCACACCGCTTTCAGGTTGTCACAGTGCTTTTCGACACTGACCTCTTCGCTAGTGTTGATTTGTGTCTCGGCCTTTTCCCTTGTGCTTGCAGTGAAAATGTCCTTTGTATCCTTGTCCTTCAGTCTTTGAGTATTGAACTTGGCTTGTGGTCTATCTGCAGCTCCTGCTTCTCTGAAAGCTTTTAATTTGATTTGGATTGTCCCTTGTACGAGGTAGTGGTCTGAGCCAACGTCTGCTCCTCTTCTTACTTTCGTGTCCAGTAGGCTGCGCCTCCACTTCCTTGAGATTGAGATGAAGTCGATTTGGTTTTTGGTTCGCCCATCTGGTGACACCCATGTAGCCTTGTGGATATCCTTGTGTTTGTATACGCTGCCACCAATCACTAGTTCATTGAAAGCGCAGAAGTCGGCGAAGAGTTCTCCGTTTTCATTCATTTCTCCGAGAGCTTCTCTACCCATGATGAGTTCCCTTCCTGTGTTGTCTGATCCCAGTTTGGCATTCATGTCTCTCATTAGTATTTTAATATCGCCAACTGGAGTATTGTCCATTGTTGCCTGTAGTTGTCTGTAGAATTCTTCTTTCTTTTCGAGGTCTGCGTTGTTTGTGGGTGCATAGCATTTTATAGCTGACACTTTCCTTCCCTTGGAGTTGAATCTGGCGGTCATTGTCCTGGGCGAGATCGCCTCCCATTGCATCAGGGCCTTCGTTGCCGTTGGTGACATCATGATAGGCACGCCCCCGGTGTGCGTGTGGTTGTCTTCTGGGTGACCGGAGTAGATCACTGACTCACCCATTGACAATTTGGTGAGTCCATTCCCGTTCCATCTGCTTTCACATATCCCCAGTACTTGAATTCCGTATCTTTTCATTTCGTTTGCAATCTGGGCAGCTGTGCCAATCTCGTACATGATGCGGACATTCCATTTCCCCACACAGAGTTTTTCTTTTGGCTCAAGGAGATTCATCGTGCTGAGGTTTCTGTAGCAGCTTTGTTTACTGGGTGGGGTTGCTAGCCTCACGCCTGAGAAGGGGAGAGAGAAAAGGTCAGTGTTGCATGACCGCAGAGCCCAGGGGACAACTGCTTGAGGCCGCTCACACGCGGCCTGTTTGGTTTGTTCTTTCTTGTTTGGTGTGTCTCAGTAGCGTATTTATCACTTCTGCCCTGTGACACAGCAGCAGAAAGCGCGGTCGTTGTTAATCCGGGCCCCGACCGATCCGAGTTTGTTTCAATCATAGTATTGGATTGGGTAGCTGCTTTTTGTCTTACCGCTATCCAAACAACCTTTCTGGCATGGTAGGACCTACAGGAACATAAGTTCCAGCCAGTGTAGCTCGTTGAGTCATTGCGATATGCAAGCCCGACCACCACGTCAAGGTAGCAGCTATCGATCAGGAATTCAGAACAATATATTGACAGAGATCTGATTAACGAAAGTCAGTAATAGCTTATAATTAATGGCCAGCAAGATGTTAAGGGAGAAGTGACACAGACATTCTGTTTTAGTGCAAGGGTAGAATTTCAAACCCATTTAAAATATTAAAACTTCTCTTCCGAAGTGGCTATTGTATTGCATTTCTTACAGTTCTAACATATACATATAGGGCTAGATATTCTCTAGTAGATTCGTTATTAAAACTGGCAATATGAAATTTACACAGTTCGAAAAGATGAGATTCCACCACAGTTTCATCTGGAAACTGAGATTACTCAAATCGAAATTTGTGATCTGCTTGATGCATTAGAGGATGACAGTATCGACGTTCGCGAATTGTACGGAGTATACTAACGCAAGATCTTATACCAACAACTTCTATAGTATTCGTTCCTCGGTTACCGAAGGCAAAGCAAAAGACCAGATTTAGGTGTCCAAACTACGAGATATATTTCTGGACCAAATCTTATACTGAGTTGAATGCTTAACTGTCTAGTGATCGTGCACGCAAGTGACACGACGGA